CTTACCTCCTCTCCCTCACTGTCCCCTCCTCCAACCCTCACCACCCTCTAACCTCAACCCAGTCCCCTCACTACCCCCCTACCTCCTCTCCCCGACTCACCCTTACCTCCTCTCGGCCTCTCACTGTCCCCTAACCATCGATTTCCTCACCATCTCCCAACACATACATAATAAGAAATAACAACAAATAAAACTTAAAACAACAAAACACCTAAACACATTTATACCTCTAAGACCCCATCAAACTATAACCACCATACTAATCTACACCTCCCATACCCCATAATCCTCATCACCTACAACATAACACTTTACCGGACCCTCCCACTCACTAACCAAGCCTAAAGACCTCCAATCACCACCACCACCCGAGAACCTACCTTCCAGTCCCCTCATACCCACCTACCTCCTCTCCCTCGACTACCCTACTCCTCTCCCCATCCCACCCTTACCTCCTTCCCCTCAGCACCACCTACCGCCTCCCTCACTTCCCTACCTCCTCCCTCACCACCCCCTACCTCCAGTCCCCTACACTAACCCCCCTTACCTCCTCTCCCCTCACCTACCCTACTTCCTCTCCCCTCCCTACCCCTACCTCCTCTCCCCTCACTACCACCTACTACCGCTCCTCTCTACCCTACTACCCCTACCTCCTCTCCCCTCCACTACCCTACCTCCTCTCCCCTCACTACCCTACTTCCTCTCCCCTCCCTACCCCTACTCCTCCCCTCACTACCCCCCTACCTCCTCTCCCCTCACTACCCCCTACCTCCTCTCCCCCCACTTACCCTACTTCCTCTCCCCTCCCACCCCTACCTCCTCTCCCCTCACTACCACCTACTGCCTCTCCCCTCACTACTCCCTACCTCCTCTCCCCTCACTACCCCCTACCTCCTCTCCCCTCACTACTCCTACTTCAGGACCTCTCTTAGGTCATATTTATCTATGGGAAGTTTTCTTTTGATTTTTCCATATGTTGTATATATTTGTTTATTGATATGTATTTGTGTTATTTATTTTTTATTTATTATGTATTTGTTTTATTTATTTATTATGTATTTATCTTATCTATTTCTTTATTTATTTATTCATTTATTCATTTATTTATATTTTTCTCTCTATGAAAATAGCAATCATATATTATTGTTACATTTCCAGTCTGTGTTGGCAAAGTATCCATTGCTCACCTCAGTTATGTTAAAAAGTGCAAAACAAATGGACAAGCTTAAAAGGAAAAGTAACAGTCATCCAGAATTTCAAAACTAATTATTTTATGTCTTCCCAACAGCAAAGTACTGGTGCCGACCCAGAAGCACAAGCAACCAACCTTCGGGGCAAAGTCATCAAGTTTGGATGGATCGAAGGTGTACTGGTAAGTAGGTGCTTACACCCACAATTGTTTTATCTAGTTGGTGGTATGATAATACAAGATTGATTAAACATTTGAAGTCCATAGATAGCATTCCATCTCCTTTTTATTTATACAAGATTAGTTAAACATTTGAAGTCCATAGATAGCATTCCATCTTTTTATTTCTACTCCTCCTCCTCCTCCGCTTTCTTTCAACTCGTACTGCTATTCACGTTCTGAGTTCTTTCTGATAAATCTTCTGCAGATGAGATGTCTCCTCAACATTTGGGGTGTGATGCTTTTCTTGAGAGTCAGCTGGATGGTTGGCCAAGCTGGACTTGGTAAGTAAAAGCTTTACTTTTTGTGTTAGTTTTTCCTTATCAGGTAACTGTGAAAAATTTTAAGTTAGATGTATTTTTTTTTCTTTCTTTCTTTCTTTTTTCAGCTTCAGAGAAATTGTAATTTTTTTCTCTCTTCTTTGAGTTATGCCAAACTTAAATTGTTGTTATGGCAAATATTGTCACAACAGTTACTACTCTCTCTCTCCATGTCAGCAGTTGCCACAAATATGTCGCATAAAAGGAGGTATGTTTGTGGAGTTTCATATGATATAAACATGAATTAAGAAATGATGTAAATATCCATTACTGTTGTGTATTCTTCTTAATCTTCAAAGAAAAGAAATACTACATCTGCAGGGTAAACATCTAATTGCAAAACATATCTACTGTATATCCATTTTGATTTAGATGTTTTACATGTGAAATTCACTTACAGGTGGTGTTTATTACATGATCTCGTTTCACTTTGGTCCGGGAGTTTGGAGCTCCATGGTTCTTATGTTACCCTGGCTAATTCCATTGCTGCGGCTACATACATCATTGGTTTCTGTGATTCCTTGAAGGTTTGTGTTGAATTTTACATTGTATTCTCTTTTATTCCTACATATAGTCATGATGGAAAAGTGTTATAGATTTTTATTGATGAAATGTAATTCGAAAATCAGGATGATAATGCTACATTTTTAAGAATGTTAGATTGAAAGAAAATGAATGACAATGTCTTATGTTTTACACACGGATTTACTGAAGTACTACTTCAACAATGCTTCAAATTCTGGCAGGGACGTCTCTCTCCCATGGACAGTCGTATTGTTGTCCGTGCCCCATCCACCACTTCCTTGTAGCAGTCATTGGCCTATTGCTCTACTTCGTGGCCATGGACTGTGGTGACCAAGAGTATCTACTTCTCTCTTCATAGTCTCGCGTATCCTATTTGTTCTTAGTGTGCACTCCTTATTTTTTAAAAAAAATAAAACAAAAAATAAGTAAAAAAAAAAAAAAGCGATCGTGAGAGAGTTAAGGCCCAGAGTCTTTGCATTAAATCCTCGTCGACGTTCTTGTGAGAGAAGTAATTCGACAGTGCCATCAACTACACCAACCTTCTCCCTCTTTACATACGGTCACCTACATTGGCTTGTTCTCACTGTTCCTCCCCTGGCTCAGCACAATCTCCACTGACTGTTTGATTTTTGTTATTGGTCTTCCTTTTGTCATTGGGCCTCTGAATGATTTGGAATTCCCGGGTTTTGTGTAGGCTTGTTTCTAGTGCTATAGGAGTGATATTTTTAACTCCAAAAAAACAAACATGTTTGATTTATATAGTCTTACTGCGTTAATGAACATCACAGCCACACTAAGAAAAATGTACCTAATTATTCTTTATATGTTATATAGGTTTACTGTATAATCGAAGTTAATAGAACATGTATAGTGATTCTCCTAAAGATCAGAAAATTTGTTGTTTTACAAGTATAGATGTTCCTTTGTGACTCTGTATGGTTTTAAGTTATTTTCACTATATTACTCCTGTTATAATTTCAGCTGGAGTATTTGCGCAGAACGTTGCATCAGACTTTAGGTTATCTGATGGAGTGCAATATGGATTTTTCGGTGTATTTGGTGTCTTCTTCCCAGCTGTAACAGGCATTGTCGCCGGAGCTAATCTTTCTGGTGATCTGAAGGTAGGCAAAAGTAGATAGTCATTATGTGGTTGTTACTATATGAATTGTAGTCTTTATTCTGTATCTTTGGAATAAGACTTCTTAAAATCTGATTTCATTGTTCTATTTACATATTTATTACTGGACTTTTGCAAGATGCATGTGTTGCATGACTTGGTCAGATGGTTTACAATTTACTTTTGTTGCAGGATCCAGGGTCTGCAATTCCCAAGGGTACTCTGCTTGCCATTGGAATTACATTTGTAACTTACATTGTGTATCCATTTATGCTTGCTGGATCAGTGATCCGTGATGCTTCAGGTAATCATGTTGTTTATGTTTGTGATAAATTGTTTGTATTGTTATTTCTGTTCTTAGGTTGAGCAACAAAATCCACTTTTCTTTGACTAATATCAGATCAGATTTAAAGTTTCATAAGTTACATGAATTAAGTAGTCTCTAGCAAATATTGAAGTATAGTTGTGTCCAAGGCAAGTAAAATTTATGTATAAGATTTACTTTTACATGTTTCTTTAAATAGGCAGAATTTTATGATTACTTAAGTTTTTATCAAAACACCTTTGCTTGCAGATCCCGCCTCCCTTTTAGATTATTGCCACAACTAGTATTATCAACTCCCAGCTTGCTTCTTTTTACTCTACTAATTCCTATGCGTACGTCCTATCTACATTCTCAGTCTGATTATTATATTTTATTCCCTCGCGAAAATTGTAATTTGTTTTAACATATATGATTTATCCCTATTCCTTTTCTTACGTTCATTCTTTTCTTACTCGCTCCCTTTCGTCTACCATCATCTTAGCCCTTCTACTTACAGTCTCTTGTCTCTCATCTGCTGCATCATTTCTTCTTTCTTCTTTCTTGTGAGGCAAATGTGTAACCATATTTCTCGAAATACATACCTCTCGACTCTCGTACCTTCTTAGAGAACCTCCCTCTCTTGTTTGTCAACATGATGAATCTCTGCTCTAAATGTTGGTATGTGTCTCTTGTGTGCTTTACATATGAATACTTGCTGCGTTGTGCTGCGTGCAATTATTTTGCCAGGTTATTGTCTGCTCGTTACAATTCAATCAGATTATTCTTGCAAGTTCATTCTCTTACTATTGTGGCTCCATAGTCATAATTTTTGATCCTCTCGCTACCTTCCTATAAAGTTCTGATTCCCACAACCTCATTTAAAGATATATTCCTTTCTTTATTTAGTCTTCATTTTCCAGACTGTGATATGTTCCTGTCTGAATCATTTGAACATCACCTCAAAATGATCCCTTCTGACTGCCATGTTTCTTAGGTCATTGGAGTTGGTCCTTCGTCTGCTTCTGGCGGTTTCCCTCTCCTTACTCTTACGCCGGGTGTTCTTTCCTGCCCCACCCTCTCTCAGCTATCGCGTCCTTCCTTGCTCGTTTCTGCCGCACCACGTGCTTCCTTGCCATGCGTCTTCTTGCGCTCATACGGTACTATGTTCTCCTCTGGCATCTATACCGCTCTTCTCCACTCTGGGCTTATTGCGAGCCCCCAATACTTCATCCCCCTGCTTTCCCTCTCGGATCTATATCTTTTGCGTTCTGTTCGCGTGATATCCCCTCTCGTCTTTGTCTGATATCATGATCCGCGTGCTCAGTAGTTTAAGTCTGCTCTCTCTTCTCTGCCTCTAACATCTATGAATGCCCAGGTGTGCAATCTATTAACTGAAGTCTCTGGCTCAATAACTAATTTCACTTCATTGTTCTGCACATCCTAATTGCTTATTATTTTATCTCTAATTCGGTGCGTCTATACCCTCCACTCGTTTTTCTCTTCTTCTTTCTTCTCTGGCTCATTACCACACAGGTGACTGGAAATCCCTCGTCCTCTTCAACTTCTCTCTCTGCTGTGGTTACTTCTTCTTGTCAGCCTTACAGTTGCTCATTCAACTTTTCTTGCTTCCATGCATCACTTATCAAGTCTCTGCTGGTTGCTTCTTCGTACTTCAAGGTGGTACAAGTGCACTGTGTGATTGCCCCTACTACTCACTCTCCTCTTCCCCACAGCACACTTTCTCCTCTCTTCCTCTCTCTCACCTCATCAACCTACTACATCATTATACTACTTACTCTATCATTTTACACTCTCTTGCTCTCTCTATCTCATCTCTCTCTCGATGCTCTCTCTCTCTCTTACTACTGTACTCATATCGCAATACTGATCCTCGTCTGTACGATAACAATCATACATACATTCGTCTAAACATCTCTCATTATCTACTAAAGGCATCTACATAAAGATGAAAAAAGTCTGCTTCTGGTCTAATATCAGTGAATATAAATAATACCAAGGTTCCTAAAGTTTTTGTTGTTTCTTACAGTATTATAACTCTTGGGTGAGTCTTGTCGGTGGCATCCTTTGCCTGATGGTCATGTTCTTGATTGATTGGATTACTGCTTTCATCACCTTCATTATCATCATCGCCCTGTACCTCTTCGTGGCTTACCGTAAACCTGGTGAGTTAGACGCATAATTTTTTTTGCTTATAAATGGCATCAGAGTTCATACTTTTGTATGTTTACTGCCCTTGATAAGTTTTATATTTGTGCATTTATTACTATTTTTCTATGTGAATAATGGAATATATATAATATAAGTACACAGATATTTTTACTTTTTTTTTTTTTTTTTTTTTTTTTTTTTTTTTTCATTGGCAGATGTCAACTGGGGATCGTCTACTCAAGCACAGACGTATGTATCAGCTCTGAAATCCACTCTTGATTTGATCACTGTTGAAGAGCATGTCAAGAACTACCGTCCTCAGCTTCTTGTTCTCTCAGGAGCTCCTGGCACAAGGCCGCCACTCTTGGACTTTGCGCATACCATTACAAAGAATATTTCTCTCCTTGCCTGTGGACATGTCATTCAGGTATGGTATTCTGCCCCTCCCCTCTTTGTTTTTCTTTGTATTTGCAGTTGAGTTGGCTGATTGCATGGAAATTTTTAAATTAAGGATACCAAAGTTTTTAAGTGTCATATTTCTAGGTGCATTTTCCTTCATATTTCTCAATTTGTCTCTTTTGGTGTTTCAGGGCCCACAGACACAACGAGTTCGTAATTCTCTAAGCAGGCGAGCATACAACTGGCTGTCTCGTCATAAGATTCGTGCTTTCTACTCCATTGTTGAGGCTAACAACCTTGAGGAAGGCTCCAGGAACTTGTTCCAGGTACACCACATGGACTCTTTACTTATACTGGCAAATTGACTCATAACTACTTTCATCTAATAGAAAGTCTGAAATACCTTCCAGCTGTGTGTTGATAAATTTGAATACAAGTGGTGATTATGTACTTGGATGTAACGAACTTTGTAGAAAGCAGTTGAATGGTTATATGACTATGCTGATAGTATAGGATTTTTTTTATATGTCATGCAAATTCATTAATCTTCTGAAGTTTTCATCAGAAAATTTGTTCTGTTTGCAAGAATGCACTTATTAAACTAGAAGTCACGATAAGCAATTTCTTTTATGAATTATCCACAGCTTGTTGGATTGGGAAAACTTCGTCCAAATATTGTTCTTCTTGGATACAAATCAAATTGGGCTAAGTGTGACCGTTTGGAACTTAGATCCTACTTCAATACCTTACAGTAAGTGATTTGATATGTAAACTAAACTTTTTTTTTTTTTTTTTTTTTTTTTTTTTTTTTTTTTCTTTTTTTTTTTTTTCTTTTTTTCTTTTCTTTTTTTAATATCAATTAAAGGTTTAAGCATAAAGCTAGAGTTGTGTGTTATATGTATGCTATATTTTCTTGGAAAGTTCACATATGTTTTATAGATTTCTATATTTTTACTTTAGTTTTAAAAGCAACTATTGAAATTCACTGATCTTTAGATATTAATTACAGATATTACTTGTGCAAACCTTGTTGAGCAATGGTGTCAGAATGCCAAACATTTAATATACTTTCCTAATTACAGTGAAGCATTGGATATGTACTATGGAGTGGCTATCTTAAGAGTACCACAAGGACTGGATTATTCTCAAGTTGTCGAGGATGAAGATACACCCGTTGTTATGAATGGCAATGAAACCACTGGAGCAGCAGTCGCAGAGGAGATCAAACGTAATCAGTCTGCTGGTCAGTTGTCTCAAGGTAAGGTCGCTCTTCATGTTGGTATTTACAGGTCATGTCTCTATGATGTTCATGAAGGAAAAGGTTTTACTTAGCAATTGCAGTAGGCCTTGCAGCAGTGAATGTTGTGTAGGCTACTTTTTATATACCTTGTTTTAGAATTATGTTCTGAATACTTCCCAAGCAGCTTCCAAAACCTGTCACTGTTTAGATTCCCTACGAGTAAAGTTTATGAAAGAAAAAGAAACAATAGGCAAAACACATGGATGCTGCTATCTCAGTAAGTGTTTACTTAAGGCTTGGCTACATTTCCCAGGATGAATTAAGGTTACAATATATGATAGGTTATTAGCAGAGTTCTTGTTCCTGTTATTAATGTGTTCTGAGTTGATGTAGTGGATTTTGAAGGAACAAGCACAACACCCTCTTTTGTAACTACAAATTATTTTGATCACAGTGTGTTATGCATTCTTTTTTTCAATTTGACACTTCACCTTTTTTTTTCTCTCTTTTTTTCACCACTTTTGAAAATTATTTGCATTGTGAATCACTCTAATTGGTCAGTATTTTGGAAGTCATGAATGTTTTGAGGTAAAATTGAGTATAGTAATGAAATATATCAAAATTCTGTATAAACAGAGATATTTGATGATAATTGAAAAGAAAACAAAACAATTTGATTATGAAGATGAGAATTACTCTTTTAAATGGCATAAATCTTCACTATTATTTTCTCAAGTTGAAACATTTCATAACTTCGAAGTTGAAAAGCACTTGACAAACTTGAAGTTTGATAGAGTGTTCAGTACACTTGGCTGATTTTCAATTCCTCTTTTGGCTACGTCCAACACTCATGCCCAATGCCCCGACGTACGATTAGAAGTGGCCCCAAAAATTGCTTTCGGTTTCCCCATAAACTCTAAACGCTCCGGAGTTGTGTCTGATTTATTCGAAATTCCCCCCGCCAATCTTCCTTCGTCTTTCTCTCTCTCTGTCTTTCTTTCTTTACTCTCATACATATTAAGAGTAACATATCATTAATGTACATGTGCAGGGTGTATGAGTGGTTCCCAACAGCTCCTTGTGTTCCATATATGGGCCATGAAATGCAGTTTTGCTTTTTTTCATTTGTTGTTGGTGTCGTTGTATCTCCCGGGTTAGTTCTGACTACAAAGTGTCTCATGGTATTACACCACGACTCCTACTCAAGTCCCACTCTAACACCCGTCCCCTCTTCCTCTCCTCCCCAAGTAACCCTACACCCAAAGATATTCTCGGAGAGTCGTAGTGCCTTCGCGTTTTCGAGTTTTTACCATTTGTTTAAGCAGTGTTCATATGTGTCTCATTTATTATAAAAAGTATAGAGCGTGTTGCAGGTGTTTATATATCTATTCATTCAATTACATTCAATTTCATTATTTCCTTTATTGTTATTGTGTTAAGTTTATATCATAGATTTATTGTTTTTTATCTCCATCTTAAGTCTGTTTTGTCTCCTCTTATTCCCGACTTCGGTGATGTTTAGGAATGTCAGTCCTCCTCTTCATCTTGCCTGTGTTTTGCCCCTCCCTCCTTCTATCTATCTCCATTCCATTTTATTCCCTCTGCTTTCCCCTTCTTCCTTTTCTCTTCCTCCTATTCTATACCCTTCCACTCATCCCTTCATTCTGTCATTGCCCCTATTTGTTCTCGACAATTCACACTTTATCTTCGTTCCATGCCCATGGATGCTTTAACACTTTTAATACACTAACCACACCTGTTACTCTCCTCTTGTGTTGTGAAATTGAGATCCTCCCCAGGAATTTCCTCAACATCTCTAGTATGCCCTCTGTTTTAGATCTGTGAGATCATAATTGTTAAGATAGTGCTCCTTTTATTTAGAGCACTTCTCTCTCTTGCCACTGGTTGTGATAGGGGGATGACCCTGAATAAGACGTTTAAATATATCGTAGTTTATATCTGACCCTCCTTTTTCTTTCTATCCCCTCCCATTGTGATAGTATTTTATCCTCCTCCTTTAAATGCACCTTCTTTGTGTTGTATATATATACCGTAATTGATTTGGTATTATCAATTTGCTATTCTTACAATATCTGTGTTTTTGATATAATTATATATAAATGAGTACTGTTATTTAACTATTGTTTTTTTTTTTTTATGTCATGATTCATAATCTTGATCATTACTTTATATTCTTGTTATCATCAATATGTTTAATATTCAATCTAATAAATATCATCATAATTATCTATATATGCCCATCAAATATCTATCACCATCATAACAATCATCATCATATCGTATTACCCATTCATCGATATACATCAATGTTTAATCATCATCAGTCCATGATATTTTCATCTATAACATTATCCATCCCTATGTACATTTTATTATCAATCAATTGTGCTTATATATGTAATGTCAATTCACATGTTTTTACATCTATAATCATACTATTCCATTGTTAAATTACTATATAAGTACATCTAATATATACCATTTTTATATATAATCAAATTATAACTAATTAGTATTATTATTTAACATCAAATCTAAATCATCAATTAGTTTATATTCATCTAATTCATCATTCTCTATATGGTATTTATTCACCATCTATATCTCGTTAATCAATGTTTTTCAATACATCATCATTCCAATGTTAATTATTCATAAATCTATTAATAAATTAACAATCTTATCCAATGATTTAATACTAGTGAATTAAATGATAATTCAAAGATAATTTGCAGACATTGTTCCATCTGTTTTGCATTAATGGACTTTTAATTTTTTTATTTTTTTTTTTTTGTTTTTATTTATATATATTATATATATTAGATTAATTATATTATGAGTCCCAATTATAAACGTAATATCATTTGGTACCTCTAGATGATATTGACTTTAGGGTTACAACTATATATTGTCTATAACGCTGTATTATATACTTTGACGCTATAAACAATTTTATAAACGGTGAAAGTTATAATATTATAATGTAATTTCTTACAATTTATACATATTCCCTAGAATTATTATATTAGGTACAATACGAAATATATACTTGATTTATTATATGTCTTCTCTGTGGTGTGAATAAATAAATAAGGTCTAGCATAAATATAGTATAACAATATAATATTATATGTATCGATAATTTATACTTGATAATTTACTCTTTGTAACTTGCATGATATAATATAATATAATGTATATTAAATATAATGTTGGTAAAATATGAAAATATTAGATAAGTATATATTATTTTAAATTAATATAATGTTTATATATATTTATTTTCAATATATATTAACATAATTATATACCTTATTTATGTATAATTATTAACATATAGATTATAAGTATATATTACCTTATCTCTGTTATAGTACTCTAATGATACTTTATAGTATTATAGATTATGATTAGGTAACTATAATGATCGGTCAAATTCATAGTGCAGATTTCAAATATTTTTCATCTCTCTCTCTACTATACTCTCTTCTATTATCTAGTCTTTAGTATTATATATATTAATATCTATGTCATCATCTTATATATCTGTCTCTATTCATTACTAATCTCCTTAAATATACTCATACTCTCTCTCTTACTATCTTCTCTTCTCTTTTCTTACATTTCTATATTCTTATTATATCTTTCTTTCTTTTATCATTCTCTCTTCTATGTATGCGTATCTTGTATCTCTCTTGTATTGTATGTTATGTTCAATGTTATGTCATTCTACTACATATTTCACTACGTACAATAAACTTTCTTGCATTCTTTCCCTGTTTCTTCCCTTACTCTTCCGCATAACCACTATATTTATCCCTATCCTACCCATATGTGCTCACTATCTATACTTGTATTTTACTGTTACATTATGCCCACTTATTCTTAGTATACTATATTTACTACTATCATATATCATCGTCATCTCTTACTATTTTCTCTATTCTGTATATTTTACTTGTACTCTATAGATTTTACATCTCTCTTATATGCTCTTATACTCTTTCATCCCTTAATCATACTCTCTCTCTACTCATCTCTCTCTCGCTTCATACATATCATCATCTTACTTCTCTCTTCTCTCTCTCTCTCTCTCTCATCTCTTCTCTTCTTACCTCTTCTCTCTCTCTCTCTCTCTCTCTCCTATAATAACTATAATATTAATATATTTATATATATATATATAATATTAATATATATATATATAATTATATATATTATATATATTAATAAACTTATATATATATAAATTAATGAGTTGATAGTAGTGTGTGTGTTGTGTGTTATATATATATATTATATATATATATATATATATATTACTATGTTGAGTTGTGTTATAATTATATATTGTTTATTAATTAATTAATATATTGTATCGATATATGTTAGTGTATTATTGATATGTTATATATTAATTATGTGATAACATCAACCCACACCAAAACATAATATATAATATATATATATTCAATATATTATATATCTATATATTATATATATATATATATATATATATATATATAGTATATATATATATTAATATTATTATATATATATATATATAATATTATATATAACATATATTTATATATATTAATAATACTAATTATATTATTAATATATATATTAATAATTAATATTAAAATCATGATATATATATATAATCATCATTAATATATTATATATATAATATATTATATATATTAATATAAATATGTAATGTATATATATATATATATAAATATATATATTATATATATATATATTACTATAATAATATATATTATATACTTATATACATCAGCACACACTAACACACTTAACATCAATCAACCACATCCATCACACACACTCACGACACACTACACAAACATCAACACAGCGCACACTACAACCCACCTAATACACGGGACATTCATATCTTATCCTAATAAACCTCGCCACGAAAACTACCGAATATCGCCGATTCTCCGAAAGCCAATCTTTATAACTGC